TTGACATATATTATGCTTTTGATACAGCATTTTATGTATTTTAAGCTCAACTTTTTTATTTTTCAAAATAAAGAATTCTTGTATATTTCATCTGAAAAAACTTTTGTCCTTTAAAAAGTATTTTTTATAGACTTGTAAAACTGTTTTTATATTCTTGGAAAGTCTTAAGACATCATCCAAGTATTTTCTTCTGCTTTATGGCTGATTTTTGTCACTCTTGATACCATATTTCGACAGAAAACATTCTTAATATCATCGTCTAATTTACTCTTTTTTCTTTTACAGTTAGTATTTTTGTATGCTGATGAATCATCCCTATTTTTTATTTTTGTAAAAATTTAAAAACAGATTTAACGAAGTACAGTTGACATCTAAAAAAATGCTCATATTTCAATTAAGGGTTTGTTTAAATTTTACGATGGTATCTGTTTTCTTCATCGTGGTGAGAGTTTCATGATTGAGTACATGTCATAACATCAGTTTTAATAGTTCAATGACATTTCATCCTCTGATGACATTCCAGTTTGTTGTTACAGAGATCCTATATGGAGCAATACAATACAATTGTTCTTTTTCCCCATCATAAAAAAAAGGCTCTGTCAAATGTCACAGGGATGAAACAGATGGGTGAACCGAGAATAAAGGACCTGGTTAGTGAGAGACTCGGTAGGGTAGGTTGCTTGGCAATGCCGTGAAGTGAGGAAAGGAGAGCAGGAGTGTGACACGGGCTGCCGAGGACCGGGCAGGCTGTGCTGAGCTGCGGTAATGAGCTGTCAGGGTTGTGATGTACAGTTCTGAAGTGATAAACTATGCAAGCAGCAGAGCGGGAGGCGCTGGTCCGGGTGGTGACAGCTGCCTATTTTGGGAGAAGCTGAAACAGGAAAGAAATGACTTTGTTCTCTACTTAAAAATAGTTTTTAATGACAAGAATGTGTGCTCCTTTTTTTTTTAAAAAAATCAGAAAATACTTGTGCACAGAGTGAAGATCATTTTCTAGCTCTAGTCCCACTCCCTATCGATAACTGCTGGTAATATTTTTGTATGTAACGGTTTGGATATTGTGTATCTACCCATATATGCCTACACACATTGCTTTTGAAAAACAGAACTGCCTTTGAAAATAATGCCTGGCCACTCGCTTTTACTTACTCCCCATCCATAGCAGTGTTCTAAAGAGATACCTGCTTCCTGCCTTCTCCCAACACAGCGTGGGGTAAGCTGATAGGATGCCATCTCAGTCCCAACACAGGAATTCGCCAAAAGGACGGTGACTGACAGCAAAGTCAGGTAGTAGTCAGCAGAAGGGCAACGCCCCCTCCCCAATAATCTATGGCTCCAGTTCTCTGTTCCCTGGTTCTTTCCCCCAGCCATCCTCACTCTACTAAATATACTAGGTTTCTGAGCTGGCTTCTCAAGTCCCGTCTGGAAAGGGTTTAAAAGGCAGGGAGTGGGATGGGACCCTCAACCTGGGCTTGCTCTGATGGGGGACTGAAGCAGAGTACTTGAGGGAAACCTTGCCACTTTCGGCCATAGCTTAATGTGGGGGGGGGGGGCGGGCGGGCTGCCCTTCTGCTGACTACAACCTGCTCTGAATGACAGGGACCCCTCAAAGCACCTGCCTGTCTCCTGCGTACTGGGAATATTGCCAGTTTTCTAAATTGTCCTTAAAAACAAAAAAACAGAAAACCAGGAAAAAAACCCCAAGAAGCTAAAAATTGGAATTTTTATGACAAAAACATCTGATTTTCAAATGGTAGCAAAAGAATCTGTATTTTTAGAACAGTTTAAAATGTACCGAGAAAAGGCAAAAAGGTAATGGAGAAAGCTCCCATGTACTTCCCATCCAGTTTTCACTATTTATAGCATTTACATTAGAATAGTATAGCACTGTAGCACTGTCCTCCTGTTGTTCATTGGTTTGCTCGAGCGGGCACCAGTAATGTCTTTGTCTTCTAGGACAGTGCCTTACACAAAACAGGTATTTAGTAAGTTTTTTATTGCATAAGTGAATGAATCAATGAACAAATCAATGAAAATGCCTATGAATATAACTGATGAAAATGACTTTTACAAGGAGGGAAGGATAATGGACTAGAAAATAAATGGTAGGCTTTCCAAACTAAACAAAACAGACTTGTAATACCTACTAGCACTTTATTTCCAAATTATATTATGTGAAAATAAATATTATATTTTTTGGTAGAGACAACTAAAAACCATTACCTTTCTAAATAAGAAAGAAAATTTTCTTTGTAAGCCACAGTGTTTAAATAAAGTGTGTGTGTGTGTGTATGTGTGTGTATGTGTGTGTGGCGGGGGGGTGGGAGGAGCCACTTTTTCCCCTTAACAATATGATGGAGGTGCTGAAGAAATAGTACAGTGAGTAAGGCCCTTGCCCTGCACGCAGCTGACCCAGGTTCAATTCCTGGCACCTCACATAGTCCCCCAAATACACCAGGAGTGATCCCTGAGCACAGAGCCAGGAATAAACCCCGAACACTGCCAGGTGTAATCCCAAAACAAAACAAGAAGGATCAAATGAATGGAGAGTCAAGCCTAGTTTAGTTCAGATAAACCTCCCCCCATCTCTCCTCAGTGTAAAATACACCCCACTCTTTCTTTTAGAACCCAGATTGCTCAAATTCAAGATTTTGAAAGATAGCTTTTCTTTTCTCTGCAAGATAAATTTCTTTATGTTCACTGCTGGGGAGAAGTGAACAGAAGCCAACTTCTCTGGAAGGAAAAGAAACTCTGTTAGAGCAAGATATTTTATTATTATCATCAAGACCAAATGCTTCAAAAGAATACACTTAGGAGCAACAAGATTCGGAAGAGTTTAGCCCCTTGTTTTCTCTTCATTCTTATGAAGAGTGTCAATTAGTACTTGATTAGGACAACCTGTAGAGGGCATCCTTGCACCAAAAGCCATAGGGTTTGAGCTGGGAAATCTTCAACTAAAATCAAACTTTCAGGAGTCAGGGAAAGTATCTACTAGTCTAAGTATCTAATGATGATCTTTAACTGGAAGAGAATTGACATTGCAATGTTTAATGCATTGAAGGCTGCCTAATGTATATGAACACATTATTTAAATGTAGTTTTAAATAAAAACTACTGAATTGTCTGAGGAGAGGTTAAATATTTTTTAAAGAATGGCTGTGAAGCTTGGGCTGGAGAGAGAATTATGGTTTGCTTACCCGTATGCGGTATCATGGCTAAGAGAACAGGCTTTGAAATCAGAATGCCAGATTTAAACCCAAATCTGCCACTTACAGCAGAGCAACCACAGGCAACTTGAGCATTCAGAGCTTTGTTCCCCACAGTAAGATGTGAATAATAATAGTACCAACTTAAAAGAGTTGTCAGGATTAAGTAAGCACTTCAAATAAAAAGTACTTTTAAAATTAAGACGCTGCAAATTCAAACCAGCCATAATTAGACAGACTTCTTGTCTAATTCCTTTTAAAGATCAACAGTTGTACAGCTGAAAATATTTCATAACTGGAAATGCACATTCCGTTCTGTTTAGTAACTTCTCACGACCTGACATTTAGTTAACTTAATGTATGCACATGTTCAGCTTCTTCTGTGCTGTTGTTTCTGTTTGTTTTTCCCGCTGGAGGTGTCCACTGTTCCACAAAGGACTGAGTGACACACCACGCCCAGCTCCAGACACAGGATCCTTGGGGCATTTGTCACAGCATCTGGGAGCTAAAGAACAAAGAGAAGTAAACAGCCCCTTTTTTGGACTTTGAAATCTTTCCACTAATATATTTTTTTAACCGTTTGCTTGCGTTTCTCTGCGTATCCAAGGGGGGCGACGTAAGCAATTTCTGCGGGGGTCGTGCTACCCGGAGCCCGCCCTCTGCGCTTCCCACAGGCCAGGCCGGAGCCTTGATTCCAAATGCCTGTGACTTATTTCAGTACCACGGAGTGCCTCCAGCGTTTTGTGTTTTATTGCCGGGGACATACTCGGTGGTGCTCGGGCCGCTCCTGGCTCTGTACTCGGGCATCATTCCCTGCATCCCGCTGGGGGGACCGCTGGGAGCCAGGGATCTAACCCGGGCTTACTGCATGCAAAGCATGCGCTCAGCCCGTTGCGCGCTCTCTCCAGCACTACTCCAGATTTCCTTGAAACACCAACAAATGGTTATTTTCACTTTGAGGAACCTTGTTCCCAAAGGCACGTCAGGTAGGTTCGACATTCAGAATCCAGAGAACTTTCCCAGGCGCTGCGGGCTCTTGCAAGGGGGTCGGCCGCACCCATGCCCGACCAGCGCAGAACTAAAGCCGAGGCAGCCTGAGCCTCGCCGGTGCCTGAAACCCGGAGAGTTGATTGACTGTCAACTTGGCAACGAACGGGAAGGCGCAGTGCCGCGGCTCAGAGAAGTTAGGGTTTTACAACGTGATGCTGGGAAAAAGGGGGAAAGGAAGGAATATTGCCTTGGATTTAGCATCCGGCTAGACAGGAGGGTGAAATCTCTTGATTCCCACCGTTCGCTCAAGCCTTGCTGTGCCCATGTCCTCGCTGCCTGCAGGTAGACACCCAGAGGCCCCTTTGGAGCCAGGCCCGCGCCGCAGCCCAGCCCGCGCGCGTTCCCACCGGGCGCACCCGGGCCCCCCGGGACTCCGCGCGCCCCGCCCCCGCGCGCCCCCCAGTGGCTGCCGGCCGCGCCTGGCCACTCCTGGCTCGCACCTCGCCCCAGCCAGCCCTTCCCGCGCTCGCTCGCTCGCGCCGTATTTAACCCTCGGACTGTGGGTCCCGGCGGCGCGCTGGCATCCCCCGCTCTGCCAGTCTCGCGCCTCTGCGGCCGCGTCTCCGGCCCGCGCCGCGCTCGCTCCTCGGGGCCGGCCGGCTCTGCCCATCTGCTCTCCGCACCCAGCCCGGCTCTAGGCTCCGCTCCACTCCCGCCGGGCGCCAGCCGCACCCCGCCGGGAACTTAGCCGCTGCCCTAGGCGGAGCGGCGGGAGGAAGCGTCCACAGCGCCGAGCGCCGGGCGAGCGGTGGTGGGAAGCAGCATGGCCCGGAGCAGCATCTTCCCTGCGGCCGCGCTCGGGCTCTGGAGCATCCTCCAGTGCCTGCTGCTGCTGCGGGCGGAGGTCGGGCCGCCGGCAGAGGAGAGCCTGTACCTGTGGATCGATGCTCACCAGGCGCGAGTGCTCATAGGTAAGGTCCTGCGCCAGCACCTTCCCCGGCCTGTGTCTTCACTCTCCCCAACCTAGTTCATGAAAAGAGGGGTGCATGCCTTTAGTGTGCTCTTAAAACTTCGTTTCCACGCAAGATTGCGCTTCCCTCACCCCGCTTGTTATGTATGAACTATTTAGTAGTATTATTATTATTGTTATCATATTATTATTATTATTCAATCTGAAAGCGTACAAACTTCTCTCAAGAAACCCAAAGGGATCAGGTATTCTGATGAAGCTGTTCCTGGCTTCTACTAGCAGCAAGCAGCCGTGCGTTCTTTACAGGGGGACCCTGCAACTGTTTGTATTGGTTCAAACCTTGTGTGTTCCTTTCTTCGGAAGCACGCGCCTCTTGGCATCGTGCTGGTCACATTGGAGAAGAAAATTAATCTCCGTTGCCTGGTTCGTTCCCTAGCAGGTGCTTTGTGAACGCAAGTGGCCAATACATATTTGGGGCATTCATCTGATTTGAGCTCAAGCCCACCTCATTTGATAGTTGGCTTTTTCCCCCTCCCAACCAGGATTTGAAGAAGATATCCTGATTGTTTCAGAGGGGAAAATGGCCCCTTTCACACACGACTTCAGAAAAGCACAGCAGAGGATGCCAGCCATTCCTGTCAATATTCATTCTATGAATTTTACCTGGCAAGCGGCAGGAGAGGTGAGTTCTAACCAGAAAAGATGGAGACAACTACCCTTCCCATTGAGAAGAATACATACCCTTTGCCCTATGGTAGGCAGAAATAATACTATGTAGAAAGAATACTCTGCAGAAGTAATACTGTTTAACTGAACAAAAAGTTTTTAAGAGTGATTTCTTCTCTGAGCTGCAGAGTAAATGAAGAATTACCTCCCACTTATTTAAAGTTGTCATTTTAAGAGTCTCCAAAGAAAATGTGAGCAGTGTTTGTTGGAATGCTGTCCCAAGACCAGTGTCCTCAAGGTGCTGGAGACTCAGACACCAACATCACTTCTTTTGGTGATCACTGACATTAAAATTAATGTCATATTAAAAAAAACTTTCCTCAGAGTATATACTAAAAATCTAAGTATTTTTAACATGTGTATTTGAAAATAATGGTATGTTGAATGTTGTTTACTGGAATGATGAAGTAAGCATAAAATATTTCTGGTAGAATTCACAGAACTAAATATGTCACATAGCATTTGAAAATATTGCAGGATATTGACATGTATCTTTTCAATACTATCGTATGAAAAAAGAAAAGTGTGAGGTATATTTTTTAAATCCAGTATTATTCCTCTTCCAGAACTTTACCTTCATTTGTGTGTTTTATAGTTTTCATGTATTACATAAATGGTCTCTAGTTTGGGAAATAAAGGGAGAATAAGATGTGTGAGTTTAATTTCTGTTGTACAATTAGAAAATTTCTCTAGAGGACAAATGGTAAGTAACACATAATTTTGCTCACTTAGTTGGTAAAATGTGTCTACCATGAAAGTCATTGTGATTATAATTAAAATCACATGTTTTGATTTTTTCCATAAACACACTTAAATGACCATTTTCATGAAAATGTCATCTAGAAAACACTTTAAGAAAAATGAACTATTTTGAGACGAGAAACCACTTTGGTTCCCTCTAATTGCCTTTTACACACTATGGGCATGGCCACCCCCAACTATCATTTTACCCCTCAGGACTGTTCTCCCTTTCCTTTCTAAGCAGTTCAAACCAGACTCTTCAACACCTCTTATTATTATACAAATTGGGTTTTATTTTTAGATCCATGGAAGTTCACAACCAGAGGGTTCTCTATTCAGGACCCCCCATTTTGCAGATAAGTTCACTGAGGGTTCTATTTTTCTATAGGAAGATTATTCTTTTTTCTCCTATAATTCCCTAGAAATAGAACTGAAGGAAAGGGCTTTAGGCCACACTCAGCTGTGCTCAGGGGCTATTCCTGGATCTGTGCTTAGGAGTGAACCCTGTGCTCAGAGGACCGGATGCTGAGCTAGGAATTCAAACCAGGATGGCAGCTGATGCAAGGCAAGCATCTGCCCTCTTGTACTATCTTTCCAGCTCTTTATAGATGTTTAATGGGCAATTAATTTATGAATATTATGAAACCAGCAATGAATCAGTGAACGGTCTTTCATGATCTCCTTTTCTTTTTGCCTGAATTTATTCACTTGACCACCTGTCAGTCACAATCAGTCCTAGGGCTGATTTTAAAAAACATTTTTTCCCCATAGGGGTCACCCCTGGTAGGCTGGGGGGCCCTGGGTCACTTCCTACAGAGTTTGTCAGGGCACAGGACAGGCTGCGTAGGAGCCCCCACTGCTGCAGCTGGGCAACAGATGCTCAGGTTGTCAATGCAGTGCCAGGGATTGAACTCGGGGCCTTGAGCATACTAGGCATATGCCAGTTAGGCTCTCTGTCTGGCCCCAGAATATTTCATTTACCTCAAAAATTTAGGGATTCATAAGAATCATTAGGAGGTCGATTGATTTATACTCCTTTATCAAAATGATTTGCTACTGTTGGAGTTGCAGAAAATGTCAATTTACTTATTAAACTTAAAAGGATTACACTTGTTTGTCTATTATTTTAATTTTTTCATATGGCCTGTTCCTTTAATCCTGGGTCTTGAAGCATAGACTTAAATTTCATGTTTTCTCCTATTGCTATAGAGCAGTATTTCCCAAATTGGGTGATACTGTCCTCTGTGGGTCACAGCAGCCTAGGGTACAATTTAGGGGGCATGTTTTATATCTGTTCACAGAAAAAAAGTAGGTTCTGGAGGGCAGGCGGTGTTCAATGTGAGCTTATCTGCCTAAAAACAGGGTTTTAAACCAAATAAGTTTGGGAAAATGCAAAGTGTATGTTTGCAAACATTGGTCTACTGTTGACTACTGAGTGGACTGAGCTATCACAATATCCATAATATTTCTGGTTGGGGATTAGAGAAGGTTGTAGAAATAGCATGAAACTTCTAGAAATTTTTTTCTCCTTTTAGGTGTTAGCTATGTGAATTATTTTATTGTACCAACAATGTTAGCAACTCAATTATCTTAATCTCTAGAATCTATTTTGGATAGGTCACCACAGGTAACTATAAAATTTGGTGTCTGTTTTATTAGAAGGGAGGATGGCAAAGTGGGTAAGGTCTACATAATGCAAACGGCAAGTTTTATTTTAAGATGTTTAAAGTTGACCAATCCAACACTAAAAAAATTTGAAATGCATGGGCATTTTGGAGATAGAAAAAATAACAACTTCAATACCAATCAGATATTTTGAAAAGCATTTCTGGTAAAGCCAAACCACATCAGAACATCTACATGGAAAATGAAGATTTTCCACTATCTAGTAGTTCATCCAAAGAATATCAAACGTTGGCATTTCAACACAAACAGGGCATAGAGTTGGTTAATGAAAAAAATATTTAAGCATTTCAGAAAACAAACAAACACAAACACTGTCCTCCCGTTGTTCATTGGTTTGCTCGAGCAGGCCCAGTAACGTCTCCATTTTGAGAATTGTTGTTACTGTGTTTGGCATTGCCATGGGGGTGAGATACTCTCAGTAGCTTGCCGGGCTCTCCGAGAGGGGTGGAAGAATCGAACCTGGCTCAGCCAGGCTGGCTGCACGCAAGGCAAACACCCTACGGCTGTGCTATCGCTCCAGCCTAGCGTTTCACAATATGTAGAAAAAGATGAAATAACCTAGGACTGAGGATCTTCTAGAGGGTGTTGTGTTCTCTCTATTCAAAAAACTATTAGTGTAGTCAACCCAAGATATTCTTGGGAATTATAAACCCTTGTTTGCCTCCACAGGTAAATGCAGTCACAAAAGAAAATAAAAGATGCTGGATGAGACTTGTGTGCCTTGCATGTGGGAGATGCTGGGTTTGATTACAAATACCGTGGGGAGGTAAAGAAGGAGAAAAGAAATAAAGAAAAATCTGTAGGAGCCAAATGAAATCATAGCTATTAGAGCACATGCTCCTGGCTGGGGTTAAGTTCCTGGCACTCTGCTATTCCAATCACCCTTTGCAGCTCTGGAGGCCCCCAGTATCACTGGGCATCTTGGGTTTCCCCAGCACTGAAGGGTGGCGAAGTCTCACATTCTTGGGCCCTTGTGTTCTACCTCCTTCAGGTGGTTGGAGAATCCCTGGTGGGGCCCTGGTCTCTTGAGCACTGTTTGGGAGACCCTCCTCCATATATTATGTATATATATAAACAGATCACATACACACACACATAGTTGTCATGGAAAGATGCTCATGACAAGTTAAGTCAGTATTTCATAACAATATATTCTGTTTGATACCATTACAAAGTATGTGTGCAGTCATAAAGGAAAATGCTTCCTTCAAGCGCAACATTAGTTATGCCTGCATATACCTGTTTTTATTTTTCTACAATATATATTGATTTGTATTTTTTAAATGATGTCACATTAAGTGTATATAAAAGTTTGTATGATGTTCTGTATTATAAAGTGCTGCTATTTATTATGCAATATTATTTTCATAATACACATCACTCAACAAGATGATAAACAATTGGTTTTCATGAACTATAGTAATTGTGGAGTCCAAAGAATTCATGTTGTTTATCTGATTTTCACTTGTCAGTTTCTTTTGAGATCCTCCAAACCCCACAGATAAGGCTTTACTACCCTAAGACAGATTATCTGACTTCTTCCTCTCCCTAAAAACCCAATTTTTGCATGGAAAATTCTGTCTCTACACTTTGTTTCCCATTAAAATCTTCATTTTCTAACATGTCAATTTTCAAGTGTTTCACATGAGAGAACGAATTCTACTAAAGAGGTATATGCTTTAAGTATTTTTAGTAATGATGGGAACTATTATTAATAGCTTTATAATAGAAAATATTTTTCAATGAGACATTCCCTATTCAAAAATTTCCTTAAATTTGAGATAGTTAAAGCCTAAGAGTAACTATTTTTTGTTTTCTAAATTAGGAACTAATTAAACATTTTATTTGGAAAATAGCCCAGCTATACCTAATGACTTTCAAATAAAACTTTAATGAGAAGTTCTGTTGGACAAATCTGTATTGTAATTATATTAGGACACAACAGCTGATTTTCATATGAACCAATTAAAAAGCCAAGAAATCATATAAACTCCATAAATAGATCTTTATAAGGAGCATACAGCCTTGATATTATAAACTAAAATATCTTATTGTGTTACCTGCATGCAGACACCAAGGATTTAGTACCTAGTTAATAACAGGTCGCACTTTATGTTGGCCTTTTCTCTTTATGTTGATGGTTTTCTGCTGAGCCATCTGTACTGGTTTTCCTTTTTGTGACAAAATGCTTGGATTTCATGAAGGGTTGGGATGAAGTTGTAGAGTAGACCATCTCTAGATGAAGATAGTTGGTCAATATTAACCTCAAATCCATCCACTGGGAGCACTAAGCATTCTAAACATCTACAGCAACAGGTCTAGATCTTAAAAGAAACTTTTAACCTTGCATGCAGGATAAAATTCTTGTCATTTTCTTTTGACAGATTAAAATTCAGTAAATAGTTCTTCTTGTTAAAATCCTTTTTATTGAGCTTTACAATGCTGTGAATCATACTTCTCATGCATACATTATTCCAAAACCATCACCTGAGAGTCTGCTGCCCTCTACCAGAGCACAAGGCCCTCAGC